TAAAAAAAAAAAAAAAAAAAAAAGAAGAACCAGACCATTCATAAACATGTTGCTACTTATTTTTTTATAACATTTTGAAATTGGGTGATACTAAATTCAGAAAAGCATAGGAACCTGAAGAGATCAAGAATTACTGGTTTATGCACATGGCCCAGCTGCAACAGACTAATTTAGCTTGGATTTTCCTAAGTGTTAAATTTACTCTGCAGTAAAGAGCAGAGACAACCAGTTCTCTAAAGCTTGCTGCTGGTAGTAGGCAGTTATGGCACCTGGCCATTAAGTAATGGGAAAGCTGATTTCCTGTGAGCAAACAGCTATCTTATAATGCAATGGACCAGGGAAGTAGATACACAACCAGTGCAGTGGTATAATTCTTTCTTTTCCAAAGCACAACTTTAAACTGGACTACAGTGACTTACACCAAAGCAGAGCTATATACTGCTTGTCCACTTTTCTTTTACCACTGAGTAAAGTCGAATTACTTTGGCATAAGCATGTTGTGCATCCACACCCCATACTTATCTTCACTGCACTTCTATAATAGAAGGAAATCTATTATTCCTATTTTTCCCCAGATAGAGCGCAGCCAAATAAGACACAAATCTAAATCTAGTGTCAAATTATTGGGACATCTTTTCTGCCTCTTACCAATAGCTAATGTTGATGCCACTTAGGGCTTGGGCGTTACCCAATATCATTATAGTTTCTTAAGGCTTTTCCTTCTCTGGTTTGGTTCTTTCACTAATGACAAAGAGCAATAGTTGTTAACAACTCAAGAGAGGTGCTGTGATGTCTCAAGAATGCAAGAGCTATGGCCAACCTACTAGTGCTGCTCCACTAAAATCAATAAACAACAATTCCAAGAAATATATCAGAGAGGTTTCTATGAGTGTTCAAGGTTGGTGTGATTTCTGTACTTGGTGGTTGCATCTACATGAAACACTACTGTGCAGTTGTTACTCAGCATTTATTTAGTACTTGCTTATACAAGTACTTGCTTAACCTGAGTTACTGTGCAGTAGCACTGATGAATGCCTTTTTTTGTGATGCCACCGCATAGTAGCCTAATACTACTGCGCAATAACATTGTGTCGCAGTTTTTGATACACAATGCTACTGCGCAGTAGTATAGGGCTACTGTGCAGTCAGTGCCTCGTGCAGATGCACCCGGGGGCCAGGTCTAAGTGTTCAATTCACGCGCAAGAATAAACTCTGGAGTTTTTTCCTCCCGGGCATGCTGTTTGAATGCGTGCCTGGGAGCAAAAACCTCCAGAGTATATTGCTCTGGAGCTTATGCATGTGTAGCACATTAAGCCTGGTTGCAGCAGCCCTAGCTGGGAGCAGCCCTGGGCTGTTCTGATTGGGTTCAATGTGCAGCAGAGGGACTGGATGGGGTACAAAGGTGCTTCAGTGCAAGGCCAGCCAGCAGGCAGCCCCGGCCCTGAAGCACCTTCATGCCCCAGCCACCAGGCAGCATCTACCTGTGTGGTGTTGCAGGGATGGGAGGTTTAATTTTGTGGTGGGCTGAGGAAGCTGGATAGTGTAGGTTGCAGTGGAGATTCTGGGAATGTCCCTGGTCGTAGAACAGTCCTGGGATGATTTTCTGTATATTGAAATGACTCTCAAATTTCCTCTAATTGCACAGAGGACCTCTGGCCCACAGATGCAGAAGGCACGAAGGTGCCATTTTTGTGCTAGCTTCAGATAAGCTGGATCTTTGTGTTCTGCTTCTTGGAGTTCAGATCCTTAACTCCTTTACTGAATCTAAGAGCAATATCTCCCCACCATAATTAAAATTCTGTTTTGTGTCATATAGCACTCTTTAGTAAAGTCCTTCCCCCCCCTCAAAACATCCACTGCCATCTGCTCCAGCATCTATATTTTAGGTCTTCAGGCCTTATGATCTTGCCTCTGCTGACAGCAATGCTCCAGCTGTTAAAACAAAAGTTGGTGTGGAATAACTTATCCAAAATATTTCTGCACCATTCCTAGATGATGCCCCAATATCCCTTTAGAGCATTCATTTTCAATGAGAATATTGTTTGGCAAAACTTCACAACCCTGGGAAATGTTTGAAGCTATTTCCATCAGTTTATTTTCATGGGACGTTACTTTTTTTCTAACTAATTTTGCTTCCTGGAGTGTTGTAAGTCTATAAAGCAGCAGAAGAACCTGGAATCATGATCCAAATGTTGCAATAAATGTGGAACTAGCTGAACAAAATGTTGGGGATTTTTCCTTTGTAGTAGTAGTAGTAATCATTTGTATTCCTCTGGTGCCTTCATTTTAAGGTCCTCAAAGACATAAGTCTTACAGCGACTCAGCAAAGGCAAGCACTAGCCCTATTTTATAGACAGTATGCCAGAGAAGCTTCATAGATTTGATCAAGGTAATCATAGGTGCACAGGACTGGAAGCCTCCTAGGTCACGCTGTTTACTCACCTGCATTCACCTATTTAGCACAGTCATCCCCACCAGTAGGGTGATCAGCAGGAGAAGAGCATGTCCCAGCTCCCTTCTCCCTACCCCTTCCCCATGTTGGGTGGCCAGGGCCTGCTTCTCTACCACTGCTGCCTCTAGCAGTGGCATCTGCTGGAGGAAGTCTCTCTGCTGGGGGAAGTGGGAGCAATAAAGCAGCTCCCTATCACCTCCTAGTTGGATGGCTGGAAAGTACACCTTTGAGGTAAATTTGTCATCTCAGAAGGCTGTACACGCATGCATGATCTCATAGCTCTCTATCTTTGCAGTGCTACAACGTGCTGAGACACTTGGTAGCAGTCTAAAAGTAATGTGCGTCCAAGGCCAAAGAGTCTGTAAATTCTGGGGTTGAAATCCTGAATCTATTAAAAGCAAATGGCAAAAATCCTGTTCAATTCAATATAGTCAGAACTTCACCGTGAATTTCTTAACTCTCTTTGTGCTATAAAGCTGCTGTACTAAGAATAATCAGTGCTTGGATTATTTAGCAGGGACGAAAGAGAGTTGTTTTCTCACAGCTGTATGATCTTTTACCATTCTCTGATTTACTCTCCTTACAAACCTTAACACTGATCCCTAATACTAGCAAAAGACAGGCAACCATCAAAATAAATTAGTGAGATTATAAAATAGTATCTATTATTTTTTACTAGTTGGCTCTACCAACACAGAACAGAATCAGGAAACAATTCTGATGTACCAAGGTCCCTTTTTGATATCTTCAGCAAATACGTAAGAAACTTATGTCATTTTATAATCTGCCCTGAGAAAAGAAAGCATATAGCTGCCCTCAGGGATGTATCTAGGGGGTGCTGCAGTCACATCTACCTTTGATTCCTGCTCCATCTAAACTTTAAAACAAACTTCCTGGAAGGAGCAGCTGTATTTCTATTCAGGCAATGCTGAGAGAATCAGTTGACTTCATGTCTCATTATCATCTCCCTCATTCCTACTAATCTCTCTCCACTGCATAGGTGTTAATGGCCCTCTATCCTTTTTAATAGTCTTGACCTTCTACTATTCAAACTACCTTTTTTCCTACTATTTTGCTGTCTGCTAGCCCTTCCTGGTAATACATCTTTTTTATTTCACAGTCCTGCAGATTGTTTCTAGCTCTAGCTAAAAACCTTAACTTGGGTACAGAAATATAAGATGCAAAAATGAATGACAGTGAAGTATTGGAGGCACTGTGAAAACGCTCAAGAGGGCTAAATTTTGTATAACGTATCTGAATAAGATCCGTACATACATTAACTGTTATGAATCTAGGACTAATGACACAATATCTTTTTGACTGCTTGGATTCTGTTTTGCCTAGTTTGTGTTTTTCTTTAAACTTAATATAGAATCTAGCAAATCAGGACACATTCCAATAGTTATATGTTTTTGCTTTGTTCTGAACCTGAATAACATAGTGTTAGCCATCTAGCATATTAGTAAACCTCCTAGTTTCTCTGTAACTGAAGAAAAATGTGTTATATGTGATGCTTTGCCACACCAACTGCACCTCCCTTTTCAAGATCCTAGATCTGCCCATGGCTGCACTACTGCAGGAACAGATTAAATTTAGGTGGGATCACCTGTCATATATGCCGATGTAATTTCTATCAGGTTGGTTTACAAAATAAATTTCACAGTGTCGGCTGTGAACAGATGTGCAGCTATGATGGGTAGTACATGTAATCTTGTAGGAGCAAGTAGTACTACTGCTCTAGCTGCAGATTCTAGACAGTGTTCAAGGGTAGCTCTATGTAGAGTTTCACATTGTTTATTACCTGACTACTTTATTTCATCAGCTTTTAGAGCTTTGGTGCTCAGGACACCACCTATCACCTGGATTTCTGGCCATAGTTTTGTTCACAAAGGAGATTCTATGAACTAAGATAAAATATGCAAAATGGATTCCATGAAGGGGCACAATAAAATGCAACTTAATATATAATAACACATCATACTTTTATTGGCGACTGAGCAATCCTCAATGGGAAGCACAACTTACCAGCTTGATATGTTCCCGCTTCTGGTACTTTTCACTGTAATACTGTTCTTGTCGGAGATTGAGCAACTGCTGCTGTTGCTTTTCCTTCAGTTCTATTAACTTCTGGGTCATTTCTGAGTCAAGTGCAGCCAGCTCTTGTTCAATGGAAGAACTGTGATCTGGGCTGCCAGTGTCACATCTACAAAAGACACACAGATCAGCTGTAGCTTGTTCACTACATACAGTTTATCTTATTCCTTTTAATTTTTTAAATTTTTTAAACTTCTTTAATTTTGGGGTGGTTGTAGCCCCAAAAGAATGTACAAATCTCCCAGCACTGTAGTTTTGTCAATGACATGATCTAGTACATTCAGGCTGTTCACAGATGTAACTTTAAACTATTTTTTAAAGGGGAGGGAAGACTTGCCTTTTGGGAGCACACATCAGCTGTTCAAGTTTAGCTGTTTTAAACCTGAAATAAATAGTTTTAAAATTGCATCACTTTAGCTCCACTTACTGGGTGGACAAGCATAACATACATATTGTAACGTTTCCACTGGTGTAATTTCATACTGGAATAACTATTCCGTCTGTCCAAACCCTTAAAGAAAGGTCTTTTCCTCCTCTTTTTTCTATGCAGACTAAAACATCTAGTAATAAAATGATGATGGCTGTAGTTTTTAAATCAAATCTGAACAAACTGCAGCACAGTGGGAAAATATGTCTCCGCATAAATAATTAGAGATTCCTATTGCGGCTTCTAAATCCACATTTAGGCACTTAGATTAAGTGGCATGATTTTCAAAATGGCTCAGTCCACTGTGGAAACAGTTAGAGCTTCTGGGTGCCAAATACTTTTGGAAATCAATCATATATTATGGTTGGTATGTTTTTTTTAGCCATGACAGTTCAGCAAATTTGTGAGAAGCAAAGGGATTTTGGTAATATCTTTTAATGCACTATAAAGTTGTCAGACACATTAGACAAGCTTTGAGGCACAACATGAAAGACATCACTAAAGTCTCTGAAAATCGTGTAACTTTTTAGAGGCATAACTAGTGATTGAAGAGTCTAACTTTATGCCTGCATTTATAAAAGCTTTGCCAGTTTTTCTTTAAAGCATCTAGGAACATCACTTCATCTGCTATCTGGCTGCTCTAAGGTGGCTATGTACAGTGAGGCTGGGTGTGCATTTGTGCAAAAGCATTTAACAAGCTGCAGAACTGTAAAAAGTGGACTCCAGGGAAAACAGAAGGGAACATGAGCTTAAATAAGGCAGCCCATGGAAGCAAAGGAAAAATAAAATATTTGAAAAACAAACTCAGTAAGAATGGGAAATATTTGGCCTGGGGAAAGATAAACAAACAGGAGTTGTGAAAACTAAGGAGAAAGGAGCAGTGAACGGTGCTTGTGAGCGAGATAAACAACTCAAAAATGTTAATGGATTGTGCTAAAATACAAATCCAAGGCAAAAAATATTACATATATATAGCATTACAGCAGAACCCATAATCTGAGATAGCTGCTGCTCTACTCAGGTGTTAAATTAGTTGCTTAGGAAATGCTGTTTAAGCTGACAGAATTTTAAAGACCTGAAATGAGAGTTGAACCTGCAGAAATAAACAAGTTTTCCATTCAGCAATTCAAATGCAGAAAACCAATTACACTGTAGAGTTCTCGCTACGCTGTGTGTCTTCCTTTTTGCTTTGAATTAGAGTGACTTCACTGAAGTCAATGAGCCAGAAGGATTTATACCACCTTAGGATCTTGATCATTGTCACTGGCTTTATACTCCCTGTCTCTCTCTCTTGCTCTCTCTTTGGCAATCCCTCATAGTCAAGGATGATTATTTTCCACAATTGTCTTATCTGTAGGGACCTACTTAAATTGTGGCTTTACAAATTTTGCGGAAACTGCAAAAAATGGTAGTTTTCATGATCACTGTGAAAAATGGCTTCTCTCACAATGTTGCGCTGAATCACCTGAAAAAAAGAAAAGTTTACCAGAATACAAAGAAAGTGCAGCAATCCCTGCAACCATAGAGCATGTGGTTTGAGAGAGGGCTACTGAGATGCTGAGCTAGTGATGTAGACTCAGTGAAGGCTCCAGTCAGACAAGTGAAAGGGTTTCAAGGACAACTTTTAAGAGGCCAGATGCAGTGCTGCAGCAAGGCTGCAGTTTGAGATGATGTGTGAAAAGAAATCCAAGAAAGCTAAACACTTTTCAGCTCAGGGTTGTATAAGGCAGTTCCCTGCAGGAGCCTTACATGCAGATGGTTGTAAATTGTTTTGTTCATCATGCAACATGACTCCGAATGTATCGAGGAAAAACAGCATGGATCAGCATTTAGAGTTTGAATCGCATAGAGAGCAAAAGTTTGCTGCACAGGCTGAAGATCAGAGCAAGAAACAAGCAACTATGTCCTCAGTCTTTAAAAGAACCATTGAAAGCAGTCTGACATGCAGAGAGGCTACATTCATGTTAGTGGAGGCATTCATGGCCACCAAACATTCCTCTGGAGAAAACTGATAGCCCTAAATTAAGGGACTATTTGAACAAACACATGCCAAATGCTGGCAGTTTCTCATGTGTGAACAAGCTTTGGGGGGTTACCTACCATGAGTAATTGGTTTGTATGTTCAGTCTATAAAATTTGCATAGGCAGATTATGAATTAATTTCAGTTGTACCAGAAGAAGCAACAAATGCCCAAAATAATTCTTCTGCACATTTATTTGTACCTGGAAACTGGACAGACTGCAATTTGCCTGTTTTTCAAAAAGAACTGGTTCACCTTGAGTCTATTGATTTTTCCACCATGGTACACACTGTAGTGAAAGCTGCTGTAAACTACAACTTAGAATTTAATAAGGTCTCAACATTTCTGTCTGATAATGCAATGCATATGAGCGAAGCTTTTTTTAATGTGCTCCATGGAATGATGCCCAATGCAATTTATGTCACCCGCAATGCACACATCCTTTCTTTAGTAAGTGACATCGGCTGCACACATTTTTCTGATGTGGGTAGTTTGGTTTCCTCTTCTAAGAAAAATGTGCAAACAAGGTCCAGGCCATAAGCCTCGATACAGCCTCCTTTGCCAATCGGAGCGGGGATCTACATGCAACTGTGTCATTTCCACCAGAGCCAGTGCTTACAAGGCAGAATTCGCGGTTTAACACAGTTCATTACCATGCAAGGAATATGAAGTAATACCAGCAATTTGTGCACGAGGAACTTGAAATCAAACCCAACACACAGTGCATGCTTAAACCACTTGATTTCTTAAGACAGGGCTGATCAAATGAAGCTTGAAGATCAGTGAAGATCAAGTTACGTTTGTGGCTGAAAAAGTGATCCAGTCCACTGAGCTTCTAATGTGGTTTGAAAGTTGGCGGGCTTTGATCCATCAAGCACAAAACAAGCTGATGGATTTGATAAGTTGAGTCGAAGACATGGCAACTTTCAAACTGTCAACATGAAAACCAGCTGAGACAAGAACTGTTCCAGGCAATAGCTGTGAAGCTGAATCAGTACTACAAGTACAATCAGTCACTACCACCATGGTTTAAACAGCTGACAGCGTCCCTGTTAGCGGGGGCACATGCTTCCCCTGTACCCTCCTATGCATTGCCTATGGACACAGAACATGTGATCTCAGTATATGAACATGTGTTCACAGCACAGAGACAGAGGATGTCAGCTGCAGCTGCTGGTGGATGCTGCATGCTAGTGTTTAACAACTAATATGAATTGTTTCTATCAATGTTGGCATTATTTAGTATTATTAAACTTTTTGTAGCATGCTAATAATATATTATGATATTAGTTACTGTTCATATTGGGCGCATCTAAACATGCACATTTATTAGGTAGGAGTAAACTAATTTACTCCACAGCAAGATCATATTTGTAAATACAAGTACTATCTTTCTGTGGAGTAAAAAGTTCTGTAGAAGCGCACGTGTAGATGCGGGAGGGGCTGATTGAGACACAACAGTATTTCAGCTCAGGGACTGCCTGCTGGCTAGCCTCACGCTGAAGTTCCCTTTTTCCTCAGCCATTCCCTCTGCAGGATGTTGAGCTGCCCTGGGCTGGCAGGCTGACCCCTGGGGCCCTCTACCAGCGGGGATTGCTCCATGCCGGCTCCACATGCTGCTTTTGAATAAACCGCGGCGCTTGTTGCTCAGGAGTAAATTGCTCCTGGGTGCTTGTTCAAACTGCATTCCTTGGAGCAATGAACTCCAGAGAAATAAACTCTGCAGTTTATTCAGGCACCGTAATAGCATGTGTAGACATGCCCATTATGTATAAATTTATATTCATAATATATATCAATTTGCAACCCCCAACACACACACAGAGTTTTTTACTAGTAAATGCAGTCCTCCTTTATGTACCATTGCATTTTTTAAGTGTTCCCTCTCACAATGAAGACTTACAAGAACTCATTTGTATATTAATTTGCAAAAAGAGTTTAGGAGAAGAAAATCTGCTTTGAATAAATAAAACTGAACCTTCCCTCAAAAGATTGAAACCAAAAGAGCTTCCAAGGTTCTGGATGATGTTTATTTCTGTCTTTCCCCCAGACTTTCTGGATTTTCTGTGTTTAGTTATATAATAAGCATGTATATGGCACTGTTCATTAAAACACCCAGACAGGAATCACATGGTTCAGACTGAAAGAAAAAAAAACCCTTCCTGAATAGGAGGTTGGGAATCCCTGCTTATTTGATATGATCTTAAAAACTTAGGAAAAAGTTATACTGCTCTGAGTGAAAACAGATCCAGAAAATGTCAAGATGGAGGGAGAGTCCCTCTAGTGCTTTCTGAATGAGGCCAGGGGAAATGTATTTGATGAGAGTGAATTCACCATAAAATGAGATAAGAACTTGCTACTAGGAATGCTTTGCCCATAACTTCACAGAGCTCCACCTTTGGTACAGTTCAGTGAAGTACTGTTGATAAGCATAGTTAGATCACAAAGGAAGACTTTGGACATGGGTTGGAATATAAAGCCCAATGAAGCAGCATGGGAAAATTCTCACATGGGATTTTCCAAAACAAGAGGGAATTCTGGGAAAGTCTGTTTTTGTGAGATTAGCAGGGCAATTTTTAGACAAAGTTCAGGTACATTTTCCATTAATTAGCATTTATTCCAGGCCAAAACTCAAAACACCTTTTTCAGCAAGAAGGATTGATGCCAAGGTATAATGTAAGCATTCTAGAGGAACTCCACAAAATAACAAAGACCCATAAAAGCAGCATTGTTTTTTTGGTTCACGCTGTTTATACTAACAGAACAATTACTTTTTTAAGGAAAACTTATCATGGTATTTGAGCCTTATTAAAGACATATTGGCCACATCCCCATGAGCAGGAATGTGAGGTCTGTGGCACCTCAAAGCCTTTTGAGGCACCCCGAAACATACATGGCACTTGCGATTCTGTTCCCCACACTGCATATTTGCAGCACAGTGGCAAAATTAGATACTGGGAAATCCTAGCATCTAAAAAATCCACAGCAAAAAAAAAAAAAAAATCGGGCTAGCGCACATGGTTGCAGTGTGTGTCACCCAAAACCAGAGCCTGGCTGGCCAGAGCCACAGTCCAGCTGCCAGCCAAGCTTCGTGTGCCCAGATCACTGCCATGACAGCCCTAACAGGCCCCCACGACTCCAGGTGCTGGCTCCAACCTCCCATACTTCACCTGGGGCAATTTGCCACTTGTCAGAACACATGTGCAGGGGCATGCCTGGGGACACAAATATGTCCCCAGTGAAATGTATGTTCATTACTGTAGGGACATGCCCACTTAATCCAATGTTTTCAATAATACTCACCAATTTTGTAATCGTCAGCTTTCTGGTGCCAAACTCCAGGACAACTTGTGATTTTCAAAGGAGCTGGGGGTGGTCCCAGGGACAGATCCAAGGGGTGGGAGCAGGGAGGACATGGTACATGGGTGTAGTTGCACACCTCCTCCCCCCACCTTTGATTCCTGCTTCTCCCATTGTTTAAAACCAACTGCCTGACAGTGGCAGCAGCATTTCTATTCAGGCAGCAGCAAGAATGTCAAATTAATTCATGGCTCATTAAAATCTAAATGATCCCTTCTAAACTCTTCATTCCACAGTTGCTAATGGCCCTCTCTCTTTTTTAATGATCTTGTTCTACTAATCAAGCTAGCCTTTCTGCTGCAATTCTGCAGTCTGTTAGTTGCTCCTGGTTAGTATCTCCTATTTCACAGCCCTATAAACTGTTTTTAACTCATGCCAATAGATATATATGTTTTTGCTTTGATCCTAAAGTCAATATAGCCCCAGGCCCATAGCATATCAGTAACGCTTCTAGTTTCTTTTTAACTGGAGAAAAAATATGGGTTGCATTATGTGGAATGATGAATCACAACACCTGCACCCCCCTATTCCAAATCCTAGATCTGCCTATGATTAGTCCTCACCACTTCTGAAAAGCTGGCACAATAAAGCCAGATTTTCACAGGCATGTATGTGTTTAAAAATACATCCGCACATCTAATGAGATTTTCAAAAATGCCTAAAGCAACGTAGGTGCCTCACAGTGAATGAGAGATAGTCATGAAACTTGCTTTGGTGCTTGGCACATATGTGAATTTTCGATACCTAAAAGCCTTTAAAAGTCTAACCCAAGTTCTAGCTCAATCCAGGCACGCAACATTCATATATTTCTGACAATGTCTCTGTGGCAGAGCACCTTTGGTGCCAGTCACTTTAAGGGCTTTGAGTGGCTTGTAAGCACAGGGCAGCCGGCAGGTGCAGGCCAGTCCTGATGAGGTGGTCATGTGATTGCAGGAGGGCCGTGTGATTGGAAGAAGGGGTGGAGCAGCCTCCATTTTAGATCCAAGCCCTCCAGAATAACACCACCCGGCTGAGCTGCTGCTCAGAACATCCTCAGAGGTAAGGGCAGGAGCTCTGGGGATGGCAAGAGGCTCCTGGGCCTGGGTATGACCAAAAACTACACCCTGCTGGTGAAGGATGGCCTGATGAGATTGGTCGAGGAGGGGCAGTTCCCCAGAAATGCCAGGCCAGGTGCCTCCCCAGTGAAAGGCAAGTAGGGGCACCTTACAACCACATCCTGGTGGGAAACCCTGATGTAGGGCAAGGCATGGGGGCCAGGCATGTCTTCATACACCTGAGCCCCAGAGGCCACAGCGAGGGGGGCAAAGAGATAGAGTGGCCCCATTGAGAGGGCAGAAGTGTGTGGTGGCCTGCACAGAGTAGGGTGCATTGTTGTGGCCTGAGGGACTGTACACTGGGGGTGCAGAGCAGGGTTGCAAGGATCAACTGAAGGGCTGCACCAGGGGTGTGTTGAGTAGGGCTGTAGAGGCAGCCTAAAGGGCAGCACACAGGCCAGCGCCTATAAGTATGTGAAACTGTCTGGCAAGGGGTTAGGGGCAGAGTCAGCCTAGTGTAAGGCACCAGACTAGTGCCATGTACAGTAGGGTTGCTTGAGTGACCTGAAGGGCTATGTATGGGCTGGGCAGAACAAGAGTAGTTAAGCCTGATGGCCCAAGGGGGCTGCCCATGGAGCAAGGCAGGTTGAGAGTGGCCCAGTGAGGGGCAATATGAAAGAGGCCCTGTGAGAGGGGGCATATGAAAGAGGCCCTGTGAAGGGCAGAGTGAATGAGCTGAGTGGCAGAGGTACAAGGGGCAGAGTTTGGCTTGGCCACAGGCCGGAGCTACCATCAACTTATGATGCCATCTGTGAGGCACGGGACATGGTGTAGGGATGGTATGGAGCCATGTGTAATGCCCTAGGCATCCAGGCATAAAATGGGCATCCTTCCGCACCTTACATCCATTTTATTAACCAGCAAGTTGTGGCAGGAAACAAGGGCAGACTGCCCTAGACAGAGGGGCAGGCTGACATTAAGATCTGGTCATGACATGGCCCCCTGTCACAGTCATTCATATCTCCACAATACACACAAAACTGCAGTTACTGTGTTTTGGACTTTTGAACCACAGAGTAGGCAGATATTCTGCCTGAATACTTTGTGCTATCAACAGAGTAAATTTACTAAACACTAATATCTTTATTACCTGTTTCAGATGAAAGTGCTAATGATAAAGGAGAGTGCAATCCAAACACAGAGCTGTAGCACTGAATAGGACAGATGTGCTAACCAAACGAAACCATTTATTGGACCAAACTTTATTAACCAAACTAAGCCATTGCTAGAAAAAAATAAGGCCTATCTCTAAACATCAGCCCAAAATATTAAGATGTTAAGAATATCTAACTGAAAATATCACTCTGTATTAAGTTTACTTATGACAGCATTAAAACACCAATTCAGTAAAGCCCTCAGGTACATATGTGAGTCCCTCCATTGGCTTTAACTTTACTGAACCAGGGCCTAATTCTACATACGAATGCAAAATTGACTGCCACTGGATATTTTATTTTGTGTCACTTTATGAAACAGGGACAGCTAATAAAGTAATTTTGTAATTTTCCAGACAAACAGCAACTACAATGGTCAGAGAGACACAAAAACTGCCTTTTTCCTAGGATACCGCAACTGATTAAAAGCCTTCAGCTTGAAATAATAATACACTTACAAAGTTGAACATCCCTACGTATATATTCTTTTTAAAATTCAAAATCAGACTTTCTCACCCTCACTTTATCATTTTCATATAAAAAAATCACATCTTCAAAATCATATTGACAGCTCAGTTTAACAATGTATAGCTGAACATTTTTCGCCAGAAACTATGGAAGATTTATGGTTACATGCTAACATAACAAAAAAACTATTTACTGAAAGGTAAGTGGCTTTATTTGGATTTGTCTTCTTGTTGAAATAAATAAAAGAGAAGAAAATCTTTACTTTGCTTTGTCTCTTGATATTTTTGTCTTACAATATAATACAATTGTATTATATTGTAAGACAATATAATACATTACCGGTTACTGCATAACACATTTGACAACCAGTGATTAAGATAATTTTATAGACTTGGACTTAGAACTTGACAATCTGAAAATGAGTGACAGTCTAAGTCAGCTGAAACAACTGAAAAAATACTTGAGAAATGCTAAATGATAAAACTTATCTACCAGTGCAAATGAGGCTGTTAGGAAGGACAAGTACTTTCTAGGGGCAGACAGAAGTGCAGTTCCCTAGTCTAACTCTTGGCACTTAACAGAAGGTACCATATGTTAGACCAACCCTTCTGACCCAACAGACATTAGCTGTTCCTGCATGTCCACCCCCCCGCCCACTGCTGTCTCAGGTTGGGAAGGGGAGAAGCCATGGGAAGGCACACAGGGGGCGTAGATTGGAGCACCTCACCTTGGGTGGGCTCCAATCCACCTGCCCCTCCCTCTAGTGCAGCTGGGTGAACCCCAGAATGGACCACCCACCCTTGCCTTCTCCCCCTCCCATCCTGAGACAGCACCAGGGATGGGGTTGGAGCAGACAGAAGTTAATGAAGGTGCTCCACTTTGGAGAGCCTTCATTTGAACCCTCATATACTGACGGTTAATTTGTCACATGATTGGAGTGCTCTGCAGCTATGCTGTTTTGTTTGGGCATGGTTGTAGAGTGCTTTCAAGGGGCCAGTCATATAACAAATGTAATTTCTGTCTGTGCCTTCTATGTCAGGAAATGAGCTGGTACCAATTACTTCCTGGTTAGAGACAGAGGGGAGAATCAAGGATTGTAATTCTTTGAGTTGCAACTTGATCCCTCATCTGATCCTTATTTGGACCTTTTAGTAGCTCCAAAATCAAGCTCCTCACATACTGTTTGTAAAAAACAAAATCAAGAACAGTTTCACTTGGTATCACCATAAGATGTGAAGAAAAGTTGGTTTTTCACTTCCCAAATGCCACATACCCATATACAACAAAAAATACATACAAGCTATCTGGCAAATAAAATTGTGACAGTCTTATTCAACTGCAGGCAGAGAGGTAACACTTCACAAGGAGGCCTTTATTGGTGTAAACTCCAGCTCCATTTCAAGATCTCTTGACTGCAATGAATTACACAGTCCTATTTTTTACATGGACTTTTTAACACCATCTCCACATCCTTGTTATTGTCACCTCTCAAAACTTAATGGATAAAAGTCTTTTGTGTTAAAGACAAGGAAACTGCATTCAGCGTACCTTTTCTTGCTATCCCTTTTGGCTGTCTTTTCTAAGACTGCCCTGCGCCGCAGGTAGTCATTCTGGATTTCGTTATACTTTGCAGTGTGCTCCTTGATAAGATCAGTGGTTTTCTTGTGGTGTCTCTTTACAAGGTCCTTCATTTCTTTGTAGTGCTTCTTCTGTAGTTTAACAAATGATTTCTGTTGTTTTAGCTCCTCAATAGTCTGAGCTTCTACTTCTGCAACAATAACCACAGAAGCAGCTTCATTTTTCTTTACTCAGAATCACACATGAGTACAATATTCAAATTCCTACTAGCAGGGCATGAAACTAAGTCCTTTTCTTTAACACTGACAGTCAAAATATACTAGCTTAAGATGAATTAAGTGCTTTCAATTATAGTGAGAGGCTTTTCACTGGAGATAAACTAATGAGTCTGAAAATGTATGTTACATGTAATCAGTGATAAAGGCTTGGAAGTAGGGTGCTAAATAAGAGGAGTATGACATTCAGCAAGGGAAAATTGACTTATTTTTCCTTTTCCCTAACACATTTTCAGGCTCAGAGGATTCTCATGCATCCCACACCACTACCCAAAGTTCTCTCCAGTATTTCCCCCACATCTGGGCATTGCAGGTGGAAATCTGACTTGATGCCATTAAGAAGCTGAGCCAATACCAATATTGAACCAGGTCTGATAACATACAGGTGGTTTATTTTAGCATTAAAACATTTGCTATTGATTCCTGGCCTCAGGCCCTGCACCAGATGTTCCCAAACTAGGGACTGCAATCCGAGATAGGGCTGTAGCACTTAATGAATGGGGTTGTGAGACCCACAGAAATTCAGGCTTCGACCAGAAGTGGGGTCACAGACTAGCTGAAAGGAGGGTTGTAAGCCCAGAAGGGGGTTTCTACAGAAAAAAACTGGGAACTGCTGCCATATAATGCCCTTCCTTTTTGTACTTCCCACTTTCATTAGTGCATTATCTTCAATTTGGCTTCAGTAATTGAAAGTCCTGATGTAATGACAGTGTCAGTATTTTTACCTCCATGATGGGGTTAAAGTTGGTTTCCATGAGAAGTTTTGATTAACCTTGTGGCAATCATGTGTGACCTTTTGCTAACACTAGGCACATCCAAGAATTACATTTAGATTGCCATAGTGCAATCTAAATGCCACAGTGTCTAAGTGTTCCAGGACTTAGGTAGCTCTAAAAATGGCACGCCTGGTATCAAGTTAGTTCACCTTAGAGGTGAGCTAATTTAGATCAGCCTGGGGTTAATCTGATATAGATAAACGGGTCTAGTGAATGTCTGCATACATTCATAGCACAGCCCTGCATCTGGGAAAGCCCAGCCACTTGCCAGAGCCCCAGGGCTGTTTTAAGGCCTCCGACCAGGGTATTCTACCCCTTCAGCCCACCCAGTTACCCTTTCCCCTGGGCCAGGCAGGTCGCCCTCCACCCACCAATGCCTCCCCCAGACCTTCTAGCCTCCCACCACCCCACTGACTTACTTACTTCTGGCTGGGCCAGAAGTCTCCTCCCTGCAAGCAGCAAACATATGCACATGAAGGACACAGCTCAGGTTTGGGAAGGTTAAACTAAGCCTCCTGCAAACACTAGTTCACATCCATTAAATGGCGAAAGTGATGGAGCTGTGCTGGTGAGAGTACCAGAAAGGGATTTAAAAAGGAACTTCCTTTTAGGTACTCAATGCTTTCATGGAACTCAATGGCCAAGATCCCATCAACTTCAAAGCTGTATAACTGTGCTGAAAGGGACAAGAAACTGGCATATACATTTGCTATTCTGGCAATAATCTTTCTATGATCCCAAACCATAGAATGCATTCAGCATATGCAACCGTGTGACATCTCTATATTTATTACCTGTTAGGACACTCTGAATAAGATCTTCTGTTTTTGCAGGTGCTTTCACAGAACCTGGAAGTAAAAGTTACCATTGATTCCAGTTTTTTTTAAACAGATGACCACACGTGTTGCCCACAGATAACAGGAAATTCTATATACCGTATCTAAAAAATTCTGCAGTTCACATGGAGTATACAACTGTACAGTAAACTATTGTGGGAAATATGTTTCTTAGGAGTTCTTTACACTAGTTACAATACCAGCATGATAGGCAACACAAAAAGAAAACACCCAAACGCTCCACCTTACTCATTAAAGGTGATGCAGCTGATTTCATTCGTGTGAGTAAGGTAGGCAAGATGTGGCTCACCATTCTTATAACCGTGTTACTTTATGTGACAGCTCAAAATCCGTTAAAATGAGCCTTTCAAATGAACGAGAGCTGGAACAGCTTCATGATGAACACTGCATAGTAGTACACTTGAATGCACCATAGTTTTAATGGTTTTTTTATCTAAAAAAAATACCAAATTAAAGCACCCAGGCACCCATATTCTGAGACTAAATTTTAAATATATAATAAAGTATAACTGTACTATAAAAGTAATTTAAGAGCTCACTGCACTTGGAAATAATAACTGGTCATGTAAACTATCTTGTTCATAATGGCACCCTCAGTTTTTGAACTACACTGCAGAATATATTTAGATTTTTTCAAAACTCATGGAAAAGTTCTGTGCTTGACTATATGCTCCCTTAGTCATTAAAATACATGTCCTCTCTATTTATACTCTTCCCTGTGTATGAAAATTGCTTCTCAAGTAGCAAGGGCACAGAGCCATACCAATAAAAGTGAATGTGTGGGCACTGATTTGATAGCAAAATTGTTTGGGAGGCCCTGGGAAAGGGGTAAAAATATGCATTTTCCTTGGGAGTATTTTTAAATATATCTGCTTTGCAATAAAGATGGGCTTGCGGATAAACAACATACAGAAAATAAAGAGAGTCTCTGCCATGAAGAAACTGCAATTCATGAGAGCCAGAGGCATGTACATATTAAATACTTTTAGACTAGAGGACTGGTCAATTTTGCAAATCCAGATGTTGGGATAACAAACTCAATTGCAAAAGAAGTGCAGGATTATAGGAGGAATATGAAGAAAAGGAGGTTTGCCTTTTATTGTGAAGCTAAGAGACCATTCTACCTTTATGCTTAAAACTGTAGAGGCCAGGCACCTAAAAATACTCACTGTGAAGTATTGGTATCAGGTTTTCTGGAGCGCAGCTCCAGTTTAGAAACGCATTTGATATGACCAGATTTCTCACAACTTCATGGCTCCCACTGTTCTCAAGATCTAACTCCACAGAATCAACGGAAGCTTCTAGTCATTGTCAAAACCTGGCCCATTATGTCTATGCGCTGTATTGGAATTGAAGATTCACAAGCAAAGTCCAGAAATAGCCTTCCTATTATATTCTGCTGACTCCCACTCCAAGATTCTTAAGAATCCTCTCAGCGGAGCTTACTGGCACGTGCATAGGAGGCAGCTGTCTGTCTTAGTCTACACAATTCTGTTGTCTTACATCACATCACTGAACATGAAAGATAAAGTGAAGCCGGAGTGACTTCTCTAGGGTGCAAAAGCACATGTGTGTAGTGTCACACTGAAGTGACAATATTAATTCCAGCTGAGGAGAAGAGTGCAAGAAACAATATAGTATGCTCTGTTATGGTACAACTTGAATCCACAGCTGTGTGATATGGACCACTTAACCAAGATGCCACAGTGTCACCCAATAATGGCACAGTTAAATATGCAAACATTTACACGTCAATCTCAAGACAAAGCCAAGCAGAAGACAGGGCAGGGGAGTTTTCAAAGAAAAATCCAGAGTCCAAAACATTCAGACCTGCTGTAATTTTTTCTGAATTCTTAGTAGTAGAATTTTTGTAGTCATGAGCAAATGAAAGCTAACAGCTGGAATTTTCTGATGGGTTTCTTTAGTCTAAAGAGGGGTGCCTTGATTTTACAAAGTTTGAGAACCACTGGTATAGACATACATCACGTACACAGGTATATTTTATTATCTTTTATGCCCTTAGTAGTTGTATTTTCATGTTTGGTTTTATCTCAGAGGTAACAGTTTTAAAAGAATGAAAAAAAAGTGGGACCTACTTGGACATATGGAAGAGACTATTATAGGCTCTGGATTTTTATTTTATTTCATATGGTGCCGGAAAGGGGTGGGGGGTGGGAATTCCCACTCATTTTATAAAGACATTTTAATGGAAAATATGCAGTGACATTACTATTCAGCCAAATTTTAAAAAATAGCATAGGAAAAGTAGGGTCAGTTCTTTTACCTGGTGCTGGTTGGCTAGGAACACCCTGAGTGGCTGGTGTAAGAGAAGTGGTGTGATTTACTCCATTTTCTGCTGGTGTTGGCCGGGGCTCATTATTTGCTTCTGAGGGTGCATCTCCATGATCAACCTGAAATACAGAATATTTTACACAACTTTTCTAAATGGATACCAGAAATGTGATCAATCTCTCAGGAAAAAACTTTTGAGTCATAGCTTCATGTCTTTTATGACTGTGAAATTTCCTACAGGCTTGTAATCTATTTTGCTACAAGTAAAATCGAGACAGGATTTTTAAATTGTCCCTTTATTACATACAGTTTATCTTTGCAGTGTAACTTTCAAGAAGACATATGGCACTCATCTCTCTGAACAATTATTTCAAGTATACTTTTCTCTTACATAAACACTGCGGAGAAAAATTAGCAGGATGTAACTTAACAGGGTCATTTTCAGTTGGATAATTTACAAATTTATAGATATGAAACTACAGCAGACCTGCATTTTATTTTACAGCATTGCAGTGTGCCATAAAATACTATTACAAGTAATGCAGTAGCTGGCAGAAAAATACCACAGCTCTGTACTCCGTCATGAAAGCTTTCTTGAAGTAATGCAAAAGCTGGCAGGAAAATCACTATTGTAAACCAAATATGTATACAGAGTTGCTTCTAAATTTTGCACTTCTACACAGCTATATAAATACTTACTAACCTTCAATACATACAGACACTTATTCTCTGGAACTCACATTTTCACAATTATACTCAAAGGATAAGATATGTAAACAGTACCTTCATCCTCCTGCTCCCTGCATAAGCATGTTTGTGGCATCCAAGTTGTCTAGACGTTTTCCACATTTTTTTCCCTGAAGGCTCACGTTTGTAGCATATATTTTGCTATGCAGTTACTTTTGTGGATGTCAAGTTTGTAAAGGCATACACATAGAGGGGGAAGGGGACTCATAGTATGGATAAGCAATTTGGACTGTAAAATGGCCAAAATATATATTTGAAGGACCAGTTATTATGGCACCTGATTAAGTATAGTGCTGGATTTGTTCCCCAAGCTGCTTTGTTTTCATTCTTTGATGATAATCACATTACATGCAGAAGCAGGAGGCAGCTCTTTTCTCTGATTACTCCACCCTTTCAGAACATCAATCTGCCCCTCCATCAATACAGCCAAAAAAAACCCTCTGCTATAACTGTTCCATAGCAATTGGACTGGCAAATGTCTGCAACCTGGCTTAATAGTCCCATAACTTAACACATTGTATTCCATGAAGAGCTAGATACTAAGAGATAAACATGCCACTGCAGCTGTATCCATCATGAGATTCAGATCATTTTAATCATTTTGTTTATTTTTTTCATATTCGATTTTTTAAAAAAACCAAAGCATGATCTAAACATCTGATCCTTAGCCACGTTAATTATACTACAAAGATCTTTCTGGCAGAAATCGTGGCTGAATTTGGTTTTCTCTTTAAATACTGCTTAAAAGAAGGCGACTTCACTGATATAAACATGCCACAATGAGGACTGCATGAATGATTAATAACAATAAAACTAGGCTTAACAAACTTTGTATTCCAGTCTGAAAATGTGCACCAAAATATGATTGATTTTGGTATGTGAAGGGGAATATTCCTTTTTTTTTTAATTTATGATCTGATTTTTAGATGTAAAAATTAATGTGGTATTCCAACTTGTTTCCAAACTATTTATGTGACTGCTCAGTTTTGGACACCAAAAGTCTTTGTTTCAAGAAACTGCATCACAAATGTAAGACAAGGTCAGGAAGCGCATAAACAGTCATTTTCTATGGATCAAGCAATTTAATCTTGTTTTATAGCACCTTCTCTTTTCATAATTCATCACCAGCCACTAAAGCAATGGTGATTTTCCCTTTAAGGAAGAAAAATGAACACTATTTTTCATTGCATGTTTCAACCTTGTATCTTACAGCTTAAATATGAAAGGAAAATGATTTATATACTTTCATGCCTTTAACAAAAGAGAATGTGATTGCTAAGTGAAGTTGAGCGCACAGTAAGGAGAATTAGGTTTACATACACTCTCTCACACACAGAGGTAGATTCTGGAGTGCAAGGTGGCTGGAAATTTCCCTGAGTAGAAAGGAAAACGTCATTAACACTGGGCTTATTTACATCGATTGTTACAGGTGATTGATGCTTGAGTGTGAGCGCTTGGATTAGCCTAGCCTGAGCATGACCGTTTCCTATGCAAAAGCCCCACTCCTGTTACTGTACCTTCAGGTTTCTATCTTCCATACACGTTTGGGGGAAACTTTTAGGACCCTGTGGGACATATTTCATGGTTCACTGTGCTGAGAAATGCTACAATTCTTTCCCATTCACTTGTAGGAGAATGTGTCTGTCTTTTGGGGAGAAGGGGTAAGAGAATGATAGAAAATTATGAGTTTTACATCTTGTGGGGACTTCTGGGCCAACAGGTCCCTAGCTAGGGGCCTGTTGAATGGCTGCTGCTCCTTTTGTGCCATATGAGGGCAAAGGCAATAAAACTACTACTACACTACAAATCACTTTACAAATAGTAAGTGTACTGTATTTTGTGATCAGTGCAGTTAAAATGCACAGAAATTTAAGTCATAACAATTAAAATAATTCCTGTCATGGATACCCTACATCTAGTTTGTTTTCTATAGACATGTAGCTGAGCAGTGCAGGGGGAGGGCTTGGAGCTGACATGTCACCTGATTATCACATCGTCATACTTCTGTGGCAATCCCAAATCTATGAAGTCTTTAACTGGGTAAGCGGATTGGAAATGGAGAAGTTTTAAGGTTCACAATGAAGGTTATAGACTTGCATAGCACCTGGTGGTCTGAAACTGGGAATTCACGTCATGCTTAAAATGGTTTCTGCTCTAAAAGTTAAGGTCTAAACTTTGCAAAATGAATCCCGTATTTCTATAATTTATTTCCCAACTTTACAGGTACATTTGTTATGCTAATGCTTCATGGACAGAGTGACTTCAGGTCTACAAAAAACTTGATTTCTTTGTTTCAAACAGCATGTGCAATTCATTACTAAATAAGTTTTGCTAGCTGCTGCCCTGCAGATTTTCACAGCCATGAAGGTTAAAATTGGTCAATTTCCTTTCACTTTAACCTCTACAAGAAGCTAGATCACATAATCATAATTATAGCTAAAAATAAAGAAAGGAAACAACACAACCATGGGCATAAGTGTTAATGTGAAAGGCTAGAAGGGACCTCAGTAGGTCATCCAGTTCAAACCTGTGGTCAACAAAGGATCATCCCACTCTCACCCATTCCAGGCAAATATTTATTTAACCTACACTGAAAAACTTCCAGTGATGGAGATTGTACAACCACTAAGTAATCTATTCCAGTAGTTAACCATGCTCAGGGGATGATGTTTCAGACTCTGTCCTTTTTGAAAGTGTCTTTTGTAGTAGTAAGGGGTAACTGTCTTCCTAGAGACTGACATGATGACATCAACAGGAAATTGTCAGCTATTGTTATGTGTCTATTAGTTTCAGTAAAGCCCTTCTGAGAGCAGGAAATCTCCCTGCTTTTTCCTGAGCTATGAGATAGCACATTTTTAATCTCTTGCATGTTTGTAATGGACAGATGCACAACTGCCTTCCAGCTAAAACTTGACTGTGAAGCACTCCACAGTTATCCTTGTGTCATTCAGCCACATTTTTTAGACAGTTTGGGACAATTTGTAACACTAAAGCCCTGTGAGACATCTGTTCACTCAATTTTTGTAATACTCTGAATAACTTAAAAGTAAACACTAGAAGTAAACACTATGTCTGTCCTTGCCCTTGCAGTAAGTAAGTCCTTCCAAATTTAAGTCCATTACTCCTTCTGTAGTCCCAGTGGACAAGGGAAAGAGACAATTGCCATCCTCCTTAAAACAACCCTTTTTGTATTCGAAGCCTGTTGTCAAATCCTCTTCTCATCTTCTCTTCTCCATACTAAATATCCCAAGTTCTTCCAACCATTTTTGTAAGTCATGTTTCCTAGACCTCTCATCATTTCTGTTGGACTCCTCCCACTTTGTCCATGCCTTTTTTTTTTTTGAAGTGTGGTGTCCCAAACTGCACACAGTTCTACAAGTGATTTCTCCTTACCAGTAAAGGAATCACTTCCCTTGGCTTGCATATGACAATTCTGTTAATGCAATCCAGTATGCCATGGTCTGTTTTGCAACAATAGCACACTGGTGACTCGTTTAGACTGCAATCCACTACATCTTCTTTTCTGCAGTATTGCAGCCAGCTGGTCCTTAATTTGTATTTGTGCATTTGATTGTTACATCCTAAATGCAGTATTTCTCACTTACCAATTTTCATTGGATTTAATCAGATGTACCTTATTTATTGAAATACTAGACACGGTTTTTCCTTCCAGTCGGGGTGGGGAAAAAAAGCCTGTTGCCTTATATTCGCAAGGAAACCTCATTAACAATGCTGTCTAGCATAAAACTGCTGCCAAAAGCAGCGTGTGCTCAGTAATGCAAAACAACTATGAAGATGATTAAAGGCAGCAAACACTGAGCTATAAAACACATGGCCCATATTGGATAAGTATCCTGATGGGAACCTACCTTTTTTTATTAAAATATATTTCTATATATAGAGTTATATAAATACATCCTCTATCATAAACTTTCCATCATACATCTTAAAACCACATTAAAAAACCTGTATTTCCCATTACAATAAACACACCTACTCCCCTGCACAGTCTACCACAATGATAAATTATTACAGCCCATCTGAACAGAATATATGGTGGTACCCACCAAACTCAGTCCCCTCAGTGCCAACTCTTTTTAAAATCATGGTGAGCTTTGCATACATTCCTACTTCCCTTTACTCACACAGCTGAACTGAGCCTTTCTTTCCCATTTCCAATGATTCCAGTTTCTTCACCAGCGTTAAATGTCTGACAAACATCACCAAAAGGGTCCCAAACATGTCATCCAGAATCCTCACACCATCTATTGCATATGCCTGTTGCACATTTATCATATGAGGTGGAGCTGGACCAGGTTGCCCTGTGCCTCATCCGTATATGTATTTTGGGGGATCCCAGGGTTCATAAGAA